GCAGATTCCAACCTAAACCGGCTTATCCCTTTCTATCCTGGAGATAGAAAGTCTTTTACAGTGAAGGTGGTCAGCTTGACGGAAAATACAACCCTCTCCGCCTGAAAAATACTACGTTCTCTATCTAATTTTTAAAACATGAAGCGCGATGGTTTTAACAGGACCTGCTGACCCACAAGGCTATCATCGACAGCCACGCCGCTGCTCTCCCTGTTGCTGGCCTTCCGCCGCGGATCTCCACCAGCTGCCGCCTCGCCTCGTGGCAGCTGCAGCTGCGGGCCCAAGGACAACGCATTCTCACGCTCCTCCTCGCCCTCCTCCTCCTCAAGCTGCTGCTGCTGCTGCTCCTCCTCCTCCATTCCATCCTGCAGCAGCTGCTCAGCAGACTGCGGCTTTACCCCCGGCACACTGCGCGAACGCAGTGACACCTCCGTAACCGGTATGACACCATTGCCGCTCTCCACACGGCTCGAGGATGATGCATGAATCGCCCGCGGCCCTTGCCGCGCCATGCGCAACCCGCCCGCCGGCAGCTGCTGCTGTCGCTGCAGCTGCAGCTTTCCATGTGCGTTCGCGCCATCCAAAGCCGCAATCTCCGCAGCAATAACCTCCGTTGCAGCCTCCGAAGCAACAGTCGTCACTCCCCCAGCAGCGGCAGCTACAGACCCCGGCCGGAAGTCCATCAAGCGGTACGCCTCCCTAACCTTGCTGCGCACCCGCATGTCCAGCTGGCCACGATAGGCATCCAACCGGGAATGGAAGGCAACCAGCCAGCCAGCCTGTGGGTGGATTCGGGTGGTGTTGTGTGGTGTGGCAGACTAGGTGGGAAGATAAACAAAGGGGGGATATAGGCGGAGGCAGGAGGACTCCGAAGGTGGTATAGAAAGTTTAAATGTGGTGATGTATGGATAGGGATGTGGGATGTATTATGTTATATATATCATATATATTATATAATGTATATAATATTATATATTATTTTATATAATATAATTATATTGGTTCGAGGTCAACTCCAGTAATGCCGTGGTTGGTTAAGGCGGTTCGGGGAGACATGGGCCCCGGCGGGGTTCCGCACGGTATGGTCTGGCGCAGGTAGGGTGGGTGGGCAAAAGGCTCGAGACAAGCCGACGCAAGAGGATATGGGAATTGCCATAGAGCAAACAAGGGGAAAGCTGCAACATACCCAACACGCTAGCATAGGACAGACAGCCCCAGACACTGAAATCATTTTGAATATCCAAATCGAAAAAATGCAAAACCAACTAAATGGTAAAGGACGCAAGGTTGCACAAACATCCGCACAGCCCTCCCTCAGGACGCGAACGCGAGGTGACGTGAAGATTGCGCATAAATCCCGTGCACAGGCAGGCTGTAAAATCTCCATGCATCCAATTTCCATGCATCCCATTTAAGATATATACATTTAGTACTACGACTACCCCCCAACCATCATGCGACCTCCGAACTGTGTACTCCACGATTCACTAATCTCCCATTCATCTTTCACTCTTTGGCCAGAAAGTACAGCTGGCTTGCGTTTATGAAACTGAAGCCGCTCTCATACAGTAAGCCCTAACAGCACGCGGGTTTGCTGGTCTATGATATGGGGGGCTTCACGACATGCGGGTCGCCTTATCCATGGAAGTACTTCAAGCCTCACAAAAGCCTCACAAAAAGCTAAAGTTAGGCCGGCTACGGCGTCGGGGGATTCTCTTACTCCCAGCAGGTCACGTCACGACGGTCAGGTGGCAACAGGACTCACCGGAGGTCGACAGCCCATTACCGCCAACGCATGAATCGTCAGCGCCAATGACTGGGGCGGAAACCACTGCAGCCGCAACTGTACGTACGGCAGTACGGCATCCATCCACTCGACATCCGGTCGCTGGCCCATCTGCGCCAGCCCGTACAGCAACGTTGACAGCGCCTGTGGCCGTAGCTCCGGCAGAAGCCGCCGGATTGCGTCGTACAGGTTCCGAACCCAGTCGTGTCCCGGCGAGTACTGCAGCCGTGCCAGTGCCCATACGAGGTTGGAGAGCTCCTGCTCAGGAAACTCGGTCAGGCGGGGAAGGCTGTAACGTTCGACGGCGGGCAGTAGCTGCGGGCAGTAGCCTTCTGGCTGCAGGCGCAGCGTAGCGAGGGCCCACATAGACATAGACACGTCAGCGGGTAGGCACGCGGAAGGGGGGGAAAGAGAGGGGTGCGGAGGGAGCGGCACCCGCACGAACGCAACCCCCTCTTCCCCTCCTCCTGTCATCCCTCCAGGGATTCCACCCGCCGCCGGCATCCGCGGTGCGCGAGGAGCAGCAGTTGTGGATGAGCTGGACGAGGCCCCCGCAGCAGTCAGCGAGCCGCCGTCCAATCCTAACTGCTGCTGCTGCCGTTGCTGCTCACGCGTCCCGGCAGCTTCTGCTCTACCTCTACCATCATCACCGCCAGCCTTAGGCTTTTCTGCTCGCATGACGCTCCTCCGATGTTCTGTCGTGCACCCAACAGGCCCTCTTGGCCGCTGCTGGTGTTGTTGACGTGGCGGCTGTTCCCGCTGCTGCCGTCGATCCAAAGAGTCTGTCAAGGACACATCCAGGGCTGTCACAGGCCCCGGGTCCAGCGGTCTACTGCCGAGCGATGAGGGGGTAGACCCGGTAGCATCCTCAGGTGCTACTGCCGCTACTGCTGATGATGCATGGGGAATCTGACGGAGGCCGACGTCGCTGCCGTACCCCGTCAGCTGCACTAACCGACGGCACAGTGCCGCCAGCACTCCCGGTGGCGGCGTGCAGCGCAACCGAGCCAGGCTGTGCAGTACGACACCGACGCCCTGCGGCGTCATCTCCGAAACCACCGACAGCAATGCGGAAAAGTAAGACATGGCCCAGTCGCTTCGCAAGCCCTGCATCCCGCTGTTCGCGACGGCCCACAGCAGCTGGGACATGTCCTGGGCATTGTACGGCAAGGACGGCGAGCTGGTTGTCTCGGCCGCCGTTGTTGTCTTTAGGGCGCCGCTGCCGCCGCCCCTGGTGCTGCCAGGGTGGCGGCGGCGGCGGCGGCGTGTACCGCGCTGAGGCGCCGTGGTGAAGCGCTCTCGGGCTTCGGTCATCAGAGCGAGGTAATAGCGCTTGCTCAAAGGATGGCGTAACCTGCGCACGGCCATGCCAATGCCCCGCGAAATACGGGGCCAAGAGAGACAATGGTTACTGGGTTGATGTTCGGTTCCCCTTTAGGGGAACCCCTTCGATGCGAGCGGCGGTGGTGAGAAGCATCTGCCCTTTCACAATATAACAATAATAATAATGATAATAATAATAATAATAATAATGATAATAATGATAATCCAGGTAGAGTCCGGGACATCTCCCTGCCCTCTGCTCTACCAGCAGTCGATGTGAACCCGATTCAGCCCCGATCAGATAGCACAGATGGATCCAGACTAACCCTTTATGCACCCGGAAGAGCCCCAACCAGATGACCAAGATCGATTGATCGATCGATCACCCCCAACCAAGATAGATCGATTCATGTTCTCTTCATTTGAATTTGATCCTAAGCAAATAGTGTAATTCTGTACTTCGCTGGCTCTTCACACGCATTGAAACGCAATTAATTATCGCGGTTATATTGAATTAGTGTGTCGGCACAGCGCATACATACCTGACAAGGGCACAGAATATGGTGGAGATCTCCCGTAGAGTGGTCCCCGGCGAGGGCGCCAGTCGAGCCGCCAGCCGTGCCAACCAGTCGACCATGGCCGCCAATGCACGCGCCTCCGCCGGCGTTTGTGGCCCCGAAACCACCATCAGCAGCTGCCAGGTGCGCTGCAGAGCCGCCGCCACGTGGTGAGCCGTCAGTGGCAACGCTGAGACGGGAAGCGGTGTCATTAGCGCCCCCGTTTCGGCCGTCGTATCCACAAGGCCGGCCGCAGCCGCAGCCGCTGCAGCGCCGGCATCCATCGCCACCGCTGTGGTCGTCGCGGCGGTGGCGGCGGCGGAGCCGCCACCGCTGCTGCCGCGGCGCCGTAGGCGCCGCGGCTGCTGCAGCTTGGCGCTCCTCTGCAAGAAGGGCTGTAGGTGCTCCTGCAGGTGCTCTCGCTGGTTGAATTGCTCCCGGTGCTCGGCCAGCAGGGCGATGAGGTCGCGCCAGTGCGGGGCGCAGGTGATGCGCGCTGTGAGACGCAGGTCCTCCTCGGTGGGGGCACGGGGCAGCAGGGCCGCCTGGTGCAGCCGTGCGCGGAGACGCAGGGCACGGTGCTCAGCAGGACACGGAGCCCGGGGCTGACGAGACCGAGGCTGCGGCCGGGTCTTGGAAGGCGCCGGTGACGTCGACGCCGGCACTGCCGTAGCAGCGGACGCACCACTGGTAGCAACGGTGGCGCCACTGCTGCTGCCGTTACCCCTAATAGCTTTGTTTCTGCGGCGACCACTGCCCCGGGTGCTGCCGGCAGGGGCGCTGTCGTCGCCATCTCCTAGCGTTTCTGCTGCTAATGTCGTTCCCAAAGATGTCTTGGAGGTCGGTTCCGGAGCGTCGTACGACCCATTTCGGGAAGCGCGTCGCCACGCCGGGCCCCCTTCAACCCGTGCTGCGACTCCCAGTCCTTGCGGCCCTACGCCTGTAGGTGTGAAATGTGGGTCGCTTGTGCTCGCAACTCCTTCGCTGCGGCTCGCTGCGTCCAAATACAACGGCAGCTGGTAGTCCACCGCCGATGCCATAGCGCTTGGAGCTAAATGCGCTGTGTGACATGCATCATGCACCGCCTCCGATTGTGATTGGAGCGGCTGCTGGGATGCATGATTGTCCCATTGCTGATGTCCTACAGGCGATAGGGGCTCCTGTGTGGTGGCCAGGGATGGTGGTTGGGATGCTTGGGATTCGTGCGCGTCGACAGTGTCCTGGTACGACAGCTCTCCATGGTGAAGATGCAAGCGTTGCTGCTGCTGTTGGTGCCGGTTTTCTTCTTCGAGCAACCTGTTTGTTGCGACGTCGGGGTTCTGAAACAGACGTACCTGCTGCTCTGGCCGCGGGTTGTCTGGCGGGGATAGCAGGAAGTGCGCCTCAGCGTTCAGACATGAGGGCGTCTGCAGGCTGGTGAGGGCGCTCACGGCAGGTGTGGCTAGGCCAAGCTCAGCTGCCGTGCTCGCGACGTGAGAGCTGCGTGCTGAGCACGAATTCGAGTCGGCAGCGGGGTCGCGCACGGTCACCAGCTCCAGGGGAGAGCACTCAAGAATGGCAGGGGCTGGGACGCTGACTTCATGTTTGAGATGGCTGCGGGAAATGCTATGTATTTGAAAGGACTCCTGTGGCGAGTGTCGCAAGAACTCCTTGCTCTGCGAGTTCCGTGCGCTAGCCTGCGCAAGCAGCGAACATCCGGCATAACCGAGAGAAAAGATCTTCGCCATCAAAATCTCGCTCGTCAATAATATTATTGCAGATGTAAAAGTTACATCGTTGAGCTCAAAAGGTTCGCAAATCGGCAGTCGCCAACTTGCAGACGACCTATCAATGTGAATTTGGCCTGCATCTTTTGTCAGTTATGCTCTACAATGAGAACCTTAACAGTTGCAAAACATTTATATATAATCTCTAGTAACACGCACCTCTTGAAACGTCGACGCAGGCGACCGTGCAGGCGCTGCCCCGCAGCATAGCCGCTCCGAATGAATGCCACGGGTACTTATATGACGCTGTGAAAATGCTGAACAGCTCCCCATGCCATGCACGCCCTTGCTCACTCGGCTATCGCTTCGTTCTAGTCATGCATCGCAGATTCAATAAAGTCGTCAGACTATTTGAGGTTACTGCAAAGGATTTGCCGGGTAAATCTGTTCGCCAGAGTATGTTATTGTGTCTGAAGCTCAGGATCTATATGGTACGGCGCCAGGGTAAGAGCGCCTAAAATGTCAATGAAACCCCTACAGATTCGTATCAACGACATGTCCACAGTCTCCTTGCATCTTCTATTATAATGAGTGCTTACTCCATAGCATTTGGTCAATTGATCGGCGTTGATGTCGCTTTGGCGTTGTACCTCAGCTCTTGCGAGTAACACTTAAAGGCATTTGCTTGATTTCTAAAAATTAATTTCCTGTAAGAAGGACATTTTTTCTCGCTTCCTTGAATTCGTGCAAATCATGCGACGAGCGTTAGGAACGCTGTTCACTCGTGTGTCTCTGTCGGGTGTATCGAATACTCTGACAAATGCTGCTAGCCTTGCAGCAGAGGCGACGCTTGGCTTGCAAGGGCAGGTCGTGGCCATGGAACCACTAACAGGTGCGTTAGTGTCCAGCTCAGATCCGTGGCGCCTAATACAACAGCACATCTCCTGCTTGCGTATCCTCGCCAACACGTCAAGATAGCCTGGCGTCCTAACCGCCTTAACCGCTACCCTGCAACAAGCTTACACCGCTGCTTGTTCCTCCCGACAGCGCGGCTGGGATGTCGGACGCCATTCTTATGCAAACACTATCCAGTGTCCCTTTCCAGCTACGGCTTTCGCCAATATGCATGACGCGCCGGCTTGGATCGTGCTCCGCCCAAGGTGGTTCATATCGAGTACGATCCGGAGAACGTCGATGCCTTCATAGCGATGGCGGACGCCATAGAGGCTGCCTTTCCTGGCGTGGTTGTAGAGGGGAATCTTGAGGGCGATGGACGGCCGGGGGCGTTTGAAATCTCAACCGAGGACGGTGTCCATATCTACAGCAAGCTCAAAAGCAAGGTTGATCCCAGCGAAGACGTGGTTGTGACTCGGATTGCCAATCGGGCTCAGCTTGGGAAAGGCGGGCCGGTGGACGACATGTGCGGGTAGCCGTTAGTCTGGAGAAGGGGGCCGCAGAGACTGGCTAGGTAACTAGCTCGTCCATAGCTGTACGTTCGTTACAATGTCTAACTGTGTCTCTGTCTAGGTACATATACACCCCTCTCCCATTGCGTTCTTCGTGATGACTGGGATCAAGAGCAGTCGGTACTTCACAGCAGCCATCCGGGCGAGTGATGCGTGTTTTCGCGCGGAAGCCGTTTCCATGCGGTATGCGGACGCGCGGATGAGGCCTCGGTTGCGGTGCTCGTACGAGTGCAGCTTGAACCCTTTCAATATTGTAAAGACACCCTAACACGTCTGATGCCAACGCGGTGCAGGGCCAGCACTATACACACGCGTCGGCAACACATACATCGATGGTCCATAGACCCATTACGTAGTCAACACTCTCTGTAAGACGTAAGCTTCCCTTGCGCCCAGAGTTTGATGCCCCAGTACGTTGCAGTTCCCAAAGAGCCGCAACCCTCCTCAACAGCACTGACTCCATGTAAGCCCACCGCCCAGTGAGCTCCTGTGTGGACGAGCAGGGCTGAGCTCCTATGTGGACGAGCAGGGCATGCCCAGCACGCACACCTTGGCGGTGCTAGTGATGCGCGGCGCCATGCGGGACTGCGCCGCCTAGAGCCTGCGTAGAACACATAACGCATGGAAGTCATGGAAAACGCTCTACCACTGTCCCGGTTGGCGTGATTGACATAAGCGACCCTTCACGACTGACCTTTTCCTCCGCCTCTTGTTGTTTCAATGTATCATAAGCAGCAAGGTTCCTGTAATCAAAGCTTCAAGTATGAGGAAGCGATGCGCTAAAGCCGTAAACAGAAGAGCTGACAGACTAGTTCATTCAAGGAATTCAGAACGGAATCTAGGTCGCACCTCTCCACGTATCCATCCATGCGGCTACGAACAACGAACGGCATGACAGTGACCCATACGGCCGCGGCTGAGAAGGCCGTGGCGAGGTTGCGGATGAGACCCATCGTCTACAGCCCAATCCAGAAGCAAAATGCGTGATACCTAATAGCTTCCACTAGCAGCACGACAGAAAATCCACTGTGTCGCGACAGCGTAGCTACGTCACGTCAATACATGCCGTATCTCCGTACCTGGGAAACAAAATGACTCTTGCTGTGCCCCACCATGAATCGTAATTCTAATATCATTTCGCGTTCGTTCTGTGTAAAATTTGTCATTGTACAATGCAGACAGAAAAGTGTAGCAATTTCGCGTCAGAGCGGTCCCCGGGTCGCTGATTCATTTTACCTCGCTCGCGCAAGATTTTGTGTTTGCAACATGGCTTCACCGCAGCCTTGCAGCCAAGCATTGGTGTTCTTGATAGATGCCCTTCACGCCTCCGCAGCGGCCAGTTTGCGCCATGCGCTCATCCGTTTTTCAAATTTACTTGCCCTGGGATCCACGTCCCCCGAGCGCCCCATGGATGTGGGCCTTGCGCTCGTCCTGCGCTCAGGATCAGGAGTGCAGCTCCAGGCAAGGGCTTTTACCCATGAAATGCAACTAACCCGCTGTATAATGCCCCTAACTCCTTTCATATCGGTTCACGACACACCTTTCTCCATCCATTCCTTCTTAACACACCTTTCCCCTGTTCCACCTTTCCACTTCTCCCCCATGTGGGTTAGTGTACGGCAGTCCTTTCCTTTCTGAAAAGACCTCCTTGAGAAAAACCCTTGCTACGCCGGCACATCACTTCCATACCTAAACACTAACTTTATGAAGTACAGAGCAAGGGAGCGCGGACGCCGTCTAAGTCTTTTCCCGATGCCTAGCGATGTTTGTTCTCTCTTTTGTGGGGGAAACTGACGTGTATGCAGTACCATGCATTGCAGTACCACACAGGCCATGCATGTAGCCGCACACAGGCATGCGTCGCGGGCACACGGTTGCCTACTCTTCTTCGCAGGACAAAGTCGTACAATACAAATGTACGGCACCGTAAAGTCGTGCACGTGCGCGCATATGGCGCCCTACGCAGGTGGTGTACAAGCCGTCGCGCTTCGTACTGCGGGACTTCCAAGCTGCCGTACAGCGTGTACGGGAGGGCGAGGGATGGTCCCAACCCGACACCCGAAAACTGAGTGCGTCACGAGTCAGGTTGGGGGGAACCAGACCATCACGTACGACCTCGCAAAAAACACACACACAGACATACACACTTTTGTCTTCACTCCTTTTTGTCCTCACCCCAGCCACCCTCCCAACCCACTACCCCGACCATCTCACCCTTTCCTCCCTTCCCCCCTCGTGCCCCCGTCCCCACTCCCCCCTCGCGCCCAGTTCTGGCCCTGAAGTCCTTGGTGCAACATCTTACGACAGC